GCTAACATTTGTACTACAGTTCAGCTGTCCCCTGGACTCTTCCCAAGTCCAAAATTCTCCTCCAGGAAAGAGACAGAAAGATACGATTGAGCTCGCCATTCAGAAGGGTTCTCTAGTAATTTCTAACGTTTCTGTGATAGCCAGTGTACCTTGGTTCCATTGATTAGCTGGCCCTCTCTACCATGACCCTGGAGATACTGCCTGAGCCATGAGGAGGCAGCCCTCCCACTGCTGTCATTAATGTCATTTCTCAGGATCCCAGTACTACTCTGATGCTCATTATAAGTGAATTCACAGCCTGTGGATGTGACTCTTTCTCCTTTTTCCATAAGAACAAGCCAGGGAGTACTGTGGCGTTTCAGCAACTATAAGTGACTCCAAATGGAAATTTACAAAGCAGCTCAGTGGCTTCAGATCTGCACAGTAAATCTCTACTTGGTACATTATTGACAGACGATAGCCTTTCAGCCCAGGATGTTGTACTTGCTGTGGTAAAGGGCGCGTATAGCTGATTGCTCACGAATAACCCCTCCAGGCCCGCCTTCCTTCCCTACTATTGAATCAATATGCCTCTGACAATCATCTGAAATCTTTATTTGGGAAAAAGCACATTTCCTACCAGCTGTTTGTTTTCCAAACCAAGCAATTCAGTTAATTTCTTGCCTGAATTAAATTTCAGGACTGTAAAATTTCTCTCATCAGTGCTAAGGTGCATTTTAGGGTGAGTGGAGAGAGAATGGGACATTTCCCACCTTCTCAGTGGCAGTATAATGGTTCATGCTGCCCTTGTGTCTCTGAAGTCCCGGCAGCCTTACCACCCTGCGCAGAGTGTTCAGCATCCTGGTTTATCACAGACATTCATGAATGGTGGTTATAGACATTTGATCTGAAATCTGGCTTCCTGGTTTGATTTCCAGCTTTATTGTTTACCCGCAATGTGACCTACACCAGGTGGCCTAACCAGAAACTACATTAGGCCTCAAATTCTTACCAGAAAACTGGAGAAATATTTGAAGTTCTTGGTATTACAAGTACTCAGCATGTCATAAATGTGGATCCCCGCTGTGGGGCAACGAGCAGATGAAATGCTGCTGAGATAAATCTAGCGTCTACTCCTCGAGCTTGTTACAAGTTACACTCTTTGCCCTTGGTACCTTGTGAATCAATATTCATCGTACTCTGGTGATTTCTTGGATTTGATGACTAAAGCCTAAACAATCTGTACAAGAAAGCGTGTTGGCTGTTTTAGTATATCTATCTCAGCCTGACAGGGAGGTCTTCATCCTTGTCCTCTGACAATCAAGAGTCACCCAGCAGTGCTCTCCTCAGCTCTGGGGATTGGTCTGACCCAAGCAATCTTCATCTGGGGACACTTTTAACACTTCTTGCCTCCCTTCATTTATACAGTGAATATATCACAGATGAAGTATCCCCAAGGGTTCCTGTCTACCCGCATTAGAAATATAGATTGATAGTTTTCATTAGGAAGACAGAGAGCTGCCTGTTAACCCTAATTAACCTGAGCCAGTTAAAGACTCCAGCCTAGAATGTCCTGGTCTTGGTAGCTGATGAGGTGGCGTCCGAGGGCCATGTAGATCAACACATGCTGCTTTCTCAAAGCTCTGAAGGCCACTGAGTCATCTCCTCCTACCACTAAAGGAGCCAGAGTGGGGGACTGTAGTGAGTTAGGTCTGAGAGTTGGGGGAGGAAGGAGAGGAAGAGGGAGAGAGACTGAAACAGCAGGGAGGGTTGCTCGCGGTCCTCTTCTGTGGGCAAGGCTCACGTATTCATCACCAGAACAGGCTTTTATTTCCTTGGGGAGTCTGCCATCTCTTAATCACAAAAGCAATAAGGGCTTCCAATATAATATGTTCCTTGGCCGTGCCTAATCAGTTGTTCCAGCTGCCAGTCATCAGCCATGTCTGGAAGTTCACTTAAAAGCCCTAGTCCAGCTTTGAGCGTGGCACTGACCCCCAAGGTGACACAGACAATGAAGACCAGACCCATGGGCAGCTTGTATGTGCCAGTTGATTTGATCACAACAGTTTTGTTAATATTGCCCTGTATTCTAGAGGGATCTGTTCTCTTCCTTATCCTTTGATCCACAGGCCACATTGTGTGCCCAATTGGTTGAGTTGAGAAAAATCATTTTTGCGTGTGTATGGAAGGAAATTTTTCCTTTTGCAAGGGGACTGCACAATTTTACTGTAACATGGAGATTTTCCTCTTGAGGTTAAATCTCAGACTTGGCAAAGTCTGAGCATTTATCAGTAAGCATATGTTATGAAAGGCAGGTCTGTAAGAAGCCAGCAGATACTCAGATTTATAGCATTAGTAGAGATTAGCACCTGCCTGGTGCAGGAATATTGTTTTAGAATGAATAAAATAATATCACTAGACTGTAGTAATTGTATCCTGGGTACATGGTATAATAAGGTTGTTGACTTCCTAGAAGTTAATGTAGATAGGAGAATCATTTCCTATGCCATGGCAGTTTTTGAGGGCTATAGGTCTTTGGTAGAGGCCAGGGACAATCCTGTTGAAGCCATAAGCTGTCACACTCCAGAGAATTGTTCATTTTAAGGATGGTATGTAAGAAGGGGATCAGAAGAATACTGAAAGTTATCCTTGTGTCTCATTGTTTCCTCCAAGTTTTTGTCATTATTTAGGTCACAGGTGACAACAGGCTTGCCCTGGACTCTGCCCGCCAAGTGCTCTGTGAAAACATTGTACTATAAGCTTTCTACTGCATTGTAATATTTTTCTATTCTCATTCTATTTATTATGAAATAGAGGCAAGTTAAGGGGAATGACAGGGCTCAGCCAGTACTTTCAGTGAGTGGCAGGCTATATATCCCAAATTTCCCAGCCTACTTTATTGTAGCTAGTGCTAAATGTAACTTCAGTAGCTAATACAGACCTCTGGAAAGCAACATATTTTCTTTTGAGCTATACAGTAAAGCGTAAAGTGTGCACATCAAGTTTCCCTGTTGCACACTGGTTTGTAAACAGCAAGGGCAATGCTTCCCTTGTGATAAACACAAACAAATATATAAAAAAATACCTCCAGGGGAAAATAAGTGATGGGTGCATTCAGCAACTGCAACAAAATAAGTAAGAGAGCTAACATTTCTACACTAAAGAAGGAAAAAAGTTAGCTGGGTTTTCACAGTGTCTTTGTGACCTCTCATTATTCCATTAGTTTTTGGAATAGTATATAAAACGCCAAGCTCCATGCTGACAAACGCCAATATTAAAACTCCTGCCACAGTCGCTCTAAACAGCCTTCTCCCCTGGGTAAAATTATTATTTGGAATACAAGCGGAATTGTAGTTCCCTGAGCTAGCAGAGCATAAATGAGGGTAGTGATTCATAAGGTGACGCTAGCGAGTTTGCAAATGTGCAACTTTTATGGAGGCACACGCATGCACACATGCGCCTGCACACACACACACACACACACACACACACACACACACACACACACACACACACACACACACACACACACACACACACACACACACACACACACACACACACACACACACACACACACACACACACACACACACACACACCAGAAAGTTGACGATGCCTTTCTGAGCGGGTAAGCACTTTCTGACCTCGCTGCCTCTCAAGGCCTGGGAGGGCTGTGAAGGATGCAGGCTTCTGAGGACACGCATTAACCTGACACAATGATGGTTTACCAGAAATAAACCCTTCAAATTAGATCACACCCCTGTCAGTAGCTTTTTGAGCGGGAAGATGGTAATTCTGCCTCTTCACATGTTCCTTTAAGTACTTGAACTCTCCTTCCATTGGATTAAGCTTTTGGGGGCTGGGTCATCCAGGGTCTTAAGTCTATCCTAGAGAGGGTGGAGGAAAGTGTTACTGGTCTAAAAATACAACTCCCTGAACTTTTAAACCCTCAAATCTTTTTGATAATATGACTTCTCTTTCTTAATCTCGAACTTGAATTCTCTTAGTTTAAAAAAATTCATTTATTCTTTGATACGAGTAGAGTAAGTTCAAAAAGAACAGAGATTCTGTTCTTTGTACATGGCTTTGTACAGAGAAGGGAGTTAAAGAGAGTCTGCATAATGATGCTGGTATGATTGCACAGTAATGAGATGTCTGCTGAGCAGGTCCCGACGCCGAAAGCCTTTCTGATAGACTCTGAGAGTGACAAGCTCCAGGTTCTTCCCTGACATTGCACCAATTAGCTGATCTACATGGGCACATACTCAAGTTTGAGGTCACATACAGCTCTCAAAGGCAAGTCTGCCCCCATGGGTGGGGCTCTAACTCACAATCTGTGTCATAACAGGCGATGGTGGGGGAAGGTCCTGGAGCTGCATTTCAGCCCCCTTTTTCCTATTTTGCGGTCTTGGGAGAGGACTTACTTTTGATGAAGACAAAGTATATTCATATCAGAGAAGTGCCTGGGTCTAGTTAGACTCTGAAGTTAAAAGGTATAGGATTCTGTGCTGGTGGTCGGATCAGGGAAGCACTGATCTCATTACTTTGATTTATCAGCAACAGAAAGAGCCTGTCCTGACCCATGCAAAGTACAAGAAGGCCTGCCTTGTGCCCTGCCAGGCACCTACCCAAATATTCTGTCACCTGACTCTCATCCTCTGTGACTAAATGTGTGAATACAGAAACCTTCGCGTCAATGTGAACAGTGCAAGCTTGACTAATTATACATTGTCCAGACAGGGAGTTGGCAGGACACTGCAGCACCACGGAGCCAGGCCATGAATGTCAACTTGGAACTGAATGTGAGCTCCTGAGATGGCAGGAAAGGCCCAGGAGCTGCAGAGCATGATCCGCCAGAAAAATACAAGCTATGTATATCCAAGAAGGAAAGAAGGTTCCCTGAAAGCCACCCAGGGAAAAACAAACAAGCTCTTGAAATATGCTTGCTGTCAGCCTTGGTGTTTAGAAAATGGGGGTTTCTGTTGGGGTGCAGTCTCATGCTTCTTCTTTGCTTTCAGCTCCCATTTTCTCCAGCAATCACTCGAGCCGAACTGGAACAGCTGCTGGGGCCGGGCCACCCCCACATCTTGTCCGTCACCCTTCTCCAGGACATAATGTACAGGGGAGCCCCCACAACCCCTCCTCGCAGTTACCTCCGCTCACAGCTGTGGACACAGGAGCTGAGAGGTAAGGCCATCTGTCTCTCTCTCGTAATAGGTGTCGCTGCCAAACCTCCTTCCACAGAGAAGAGCTTTGACAGTTGCTGAATTTTATTAATAATCTGTTGGTGGGTTGAGTTACCCAAAGGTGACATTTTAAAAGTAACATACATAAAGCACGTGGACGAAATATCTCACTATTATATTTTTCTGTGGGAAAACAAATGAAATGGTACTGGCAATAGCCAGCTGAAGTGTCAGGTGCTGGAAAAATGAATTAGAATGTCCCTGTCTTTCCCATTTTCCTCATTTTGTTTCAGGGATTCAGTTTTCAGGTATTAATATGCACAGGTCGAGATGCTTTCAAGATGTAAAAGGTACCTTGGTTACGGTCACATAGATAGTAGTATGACCTCGTGTGTTAGCCAGCTTTCCATTGCTGTGACAAAACACATGAATAACCAAACTACAAGGAAGAAAGGTTCACTAGCCCATGGTTTAAGGGTTTTAACCCACGGTCACTGAACCCTATTGCTTTGGGCTTGTGGCAACACAGTACGTCATAGCAGGAGACTGTGGCGGAAGAACCTGTTCAACTAATGGTGACCAGATAGCAAAGCAAGGTCCTGACATCCTTCCCCTAGGTTCTGTGTCTTAAGGGTTTTACCACCTCCTAATCGCAACCACAGGCTGGTAGCCAGGGCCTTTAACACCGGCCTGTGGTCCTATGTAGATCTGAGCTATAGCAGCTTGGGAGCCACACATAAAAGGGCATGAGGTTTTATATGGGTGATGAGAAAGGGGAGATGCACTGAAAACTTTATATTATTGTCATCCTCATGTAGGGTTTTGGGGCGGGGGTTCAAACTGTGATCTTCAAAATAGCTTTATTTCCGAATTCTCTGCTGGTTCCAGGAGTTTTGGGGGATCCTTCTCATAGTTTTGCTTCCCCCCATCAGTCTCCGGTATGCTTTCATGGACCACAAACCAAATAAGAGTCTGTCTGTTCAGTGAGTGAAAGACACAGTGATGCAGGCCTCAAGGGAAGACTAAATATTTTCTAGATAACAAGAAGAATATATGCAAGAGGTGAGGCCACTGTCACAGCAGATGTCTGTAGCTCAGGACAGTGGCATCATGGTGCATAAAGCCAGTAGGATCAGGTGGTAGTAGACTGGCTTGTGTGGAACCATATTATTTGATGCTGAGGAATTTCCCCTCTATCCTCCTTGAAGCAAAAAACCATTATAGGCTTTCTGTTAGAAGACACACTCAGGTTGACATTATAGAGAAGGGACTCAGGACAAGATAATAAAGGAAGTGTGGTTGGAAGGGGAGATTGTGGAAAGCAGGGTGAGGCTGCTGCAGGAGTCCTTGAGATGTGCTTATTTCAGCATTTTATATTTCTGCTTAGCTTGAAAATACTGTTAGCCATGGGCTCCATCTCATTCCATTCTACCTGACTGAGAGTTGTACCCTACATGGTAGTGAAGTTTGCTGGGATCAGTGTGAACCTCTTTTTCTCCCCTGCTTCTCCTTACCTACATGAGTGAAAGGAGAAAGTCATCATTGTGATGCCTCTTGACTCACATCCTTTGAAAGAATATGTGCAGGAGAAGATTTTAGCCAGTACTGGAGCAGGAAACTGCCACCTTGGCAGACCAGTTACTTGACGGTTTCATCAGAGCTCTAAGACTGGCTCCTTGTTTGTGCACCAGCTCCTTAATGACTCCTGTTGCTTGGACTTTGGTTTTTTTTAACACTTAATTTTCTTTGCAATTGTGTGTATTTTTAAATCTTTCTTAAAATTTTAAGAATAGTACAAAGAATACCCATATTGCAAACTGCATGCATATTTACCTATTACTAGCATTTTGCCATTTGCTCTGTGTCTGCCTTCTCTCTCTCTCTCTCTCTCTGTCTCTCCGTTTCTGTCTCTAGTGTCTCTGTCTCTCTCCCTCTGCCTGTCTCTCTCTCTGCTCCCCTCCCATTTGTTTCTCTCTTTCTCTGAAGGTCCTTTGCTTGCTTATCTGTTATTTCTTTCCCACTTGAAAGGTAATTGCAGGTGTCATTGAGCTCTGTCCATAATTATTCAGTAGAGCTTTTCTGAGAAGGATATTCTCCTAGATAAACCCAATATAAGCAATCACACTCAGGATACTTAACACTGACACAGTACTATTATCTAATAATCAATATTCAAATTTCCCCAAATTTGTAAATAATGTCCTTTACTGCTGATGTTTTTCCCCTTTTGATGAATTGGCATTCTAACAAGAATTCCATAATGCATTTAATTCTCTTTTCTTTTTAGTCTCCTTGAATCTCATGAAGTTATTACTGTTATCTTTCACATCATCGGTGATTTATGATGAACTTAGGACATTTATTTTTACAATGTTCCATGGTTTAGATTTGTCCTATTGTCATATTTGGGGATGGAGTACATATAGCTGTGTGATGTCCCTTAGATTTTTAAAAACTTATTTGGCACCTCACAGAGAATTAGGATTAAATGAACCAAAGTGGTTAAAGCACTTGCCATGTTTTGTGGTGTGAAGCAGACATATTATAATACATGTACAGGTACTTGTAGATAGACAGACAGGCTTCCTTGCCGTGGCAGAGGGATCTAGGTTTGGAAGCAAGAAGATGTTGTTAAATGGTCACAGGGGTTGATAATGTAAATAATCATTGAAATGAAGAAGGGGAGTGGAGAAGGAAGGTAGTGTTTTACGCGAATGGGTGGATGAAGGGGAAATTTGCGTGTCTCTGGTTGCTGCTATATTCTTCCCATAGAATGTGTGACCTGACACTTCGCCAGCCCTGCTGGAGCAGGTGGGTGCCAGTGTACTAGGTTATCCCTTCCCATCAGTCTGGAGAGGAGAATGACATGAAACAGCCCTGGGTTATTTGCATTAGTGACCAGGAAAAAAACACTAAGAGGAAATGTGCTTACCTTCCGCTTTTGGTTTATATATCTTTGCTTCTCTTTGCCTGGGAAATCCCCCAATAAAAACTCCAGCAGTTTTCTTAACGGAAATGGGTTTATCACACTTTGCGCTTTTTAGTGGAACACGGGCATCTTTTCCTGCTTTGCAGGCATTGATTCATCATTTGCTTAGCCGTAGCTGGTTAATAAAATGTGATGAGTCATTGTCAGAAGTCAGGAAAGGTCCACAACATCTGCCTGCTTAGCATTGGGTCCTTTGATCTGTACCATCAGAAAATAAAATAAATGGAAGTTCTCTTAGTTTGGCAAGCTTCCATTTTTATTTTGAAATGTTATCTACCTGACATATTATTTCAGTGACTTCAGCAGAACCATGCTGCATCACCTAGTGCGGATTTAAACTTGTTATGGGAAGTGGCACTTTACTGTGTGTCACATCCAACACACCAGTCAGTGGGGCTTTATGTTTATGGCTTCCCATGAGAGGAACTTGGCAGCTTTGGAAATGTTAATTCACTGGGTTTCATATGCATCTGTTAGACCAGTGAAAACAGAAATATTGATGGGCATTCTGTTTTGAAATGGGGAAATCTTTGCCATCCCAGTAATAAGTCAGCTAGGTTTGTGTTGCTCATCTTGTTTGAAAGATGTCATCTGCCTGAAGGCCACTGATACAGTGTGCTCTGCACAGTAGGTGACAGAGCGTAAGGAACCGTGGACTGAGCTCAGTGTACTGACTTACAGAGATTTTCCTAGGAGCCCCGCTTCTGTGCCAAAGAAGATGGAGAAGAAAGGATATTGGCATCCAGATCTATGTCCCTCCCTTTCTTCCAGTTATCTGTGTTTTTAGATGATTTTCCCTGAGTAACTCTAACATGGCTCCTCTTCTATTCAGCTATGGATATACGGTCTCATTACAGAGTACACAACCACATACAACAGTGCAGAGTATATAAGTGTCTTAATTACTTTATTGTTCCTGGGGTAGAATGCCTGACACTAAGTTAAAGAGGAGAGGTTTATTTTGACTTACAGTTTGCAGAGGTTTCAGTCCATAGTTAGCTGGTTCCCTGGCAGAGGAGCACAGCAGAGAAGAAAACAGCCCATGGCATGGGGGACAAAAAGCAGAGAGGGATGAAGGGAAAAGGAAGGATGTCTCCTGTTCTAGACCACACCCAGTGACCCACCTCTTCCCACCAGACTTGCCTACCGACATCACACCACCTGTAAACTCATCAGGGACCAATCCACCTATGATCCAGTCACCTCCCAAATCACTCACCTGTGAGCACATAAGGAAGACACCTAGACTTGAGCCATAACACCACCCTCATCTGAATCAGCAGAAAAATATGTTAGAGTAATTGTTTGGGGGAAAAAAGTAAAGTACCTTTATCAAATAGAGAATGCCTATTTATTGAGTGCCTATCAAGTATTGATAATCCTTCCTGTTTTTACCTTAGAATGCATTACTTTAGTTGTGATGTTGCTAGACTTTTATATACTTATGGTCTTTCTATGCCTCTCAGCTATCCAGGACTGACTTTTGTGGGTACCATTTTTAAATTCATCACTGGAAACATTAATGTTGCCTGCGTAGATGCTACTGGTGAAAGACAACAGCCATTTTCAGTTTAATGGCTTTGCAATTCTGTGGTTTCTCATTTTTAGTCAAGCCAGCCTGCTCACTACTCCTGACTTAGCATGCATGTGTCTGCTTCTTAATTTAAACTTTAACTCTTATCCAAAGCCTTCCCTACTTTTCCTGCCCTTGGCCAGATATTACCAGCCTTGGGAGCTCAGTTTAATTTTCCACCCGGGAAGCCTCTCCTGCATCTCCCGGCCTTCAAAGACAGATGCCCCTGTTAATCCCTAGGTTCTTATTATCTGTTTCATGAATTTACCAGACATTATCTTGTTAATGGGGTTGTTTGCTTTTGGAGGGAAGGAACCTTGAATTTCCTCAGAACCTCCAGGGTGCCTTTTTCTGAACTATGCCTTGTTAGATGCTGAGGAAGGTTTAACAAGGGATCCAGACCAATGAGGGAAATGCCTAGGAAAGAGGAAGTCACTGT